ACACAGGCTTGCATTATCCCATGGTACACTGGGATACAGGTTTGCATTATCCCATGGTACACTGACATAGGCTTCTTGCATTATCCCTTACGGTACACTGATACAGGCTTGCATTATCCCATGGTACACTGACACAGGCTTGCATTATCCCATGGTACACTGATACAGGTTTGCATTATCCCATGGTACACTGACACAGGGTTGTTGTCCCATGGTACACTGACACAGGCTTGCATTATCCCATGGTACACTGACACAGGTTTGCATTATCCCATGGTACACTGACACAGGCTTGCATTATCCCATGGTACACTGATACAGGTTTGCATTATCCCATGGTACACTGACACAGGCTTGCATTATCCCATGGTACACTGACACAGGCTGGCATTATCCCATGGTACACTGATACAGGCTTGCATTATCCCATGGCACACTGATACAGGCTGGCATTATCCCATGGTACACTGACACAGGCTTGCATTATCCCATGTTACACTGACACAGGCTGGCATTATCCCATGGTACACTGACACAGGCTTGTATTATCCCATGGTACACTGACACAGGCTTGCATTATCCCATGGTACACTGACACAGGCTTGCATTATCCCATGGTACACTGATACAGGTTTGCATTATCCCATGGTACACTGACACAGGCTGGCATTATCCCATGGTACACTGACACAGGCTTGCATTATCCCATGGTACACTGATACAGGTTTGCATTATCCCATGGTACACTGACACAGGCTTGCATTATCCCATGGTACACTGATACAGGCTTGCATTATCCCATGGTACACTGACACAGGCTTGCATTATCCCATGGTACACTGATACAGGTTTGCATTATCCCATGGTACACTGACACAGGCTTGCATTATCCCATGGTACACTGATACAGGTTTGCATTATCCCATGGTACACTGATACAGGCTGGCATTATCCCATGGTACACTGACACAGGCTTGCATTATCCCATGCTACACCAATATAGTTTTTTAATAAACCACGCTACATTTATATAGGCTTGCATTATATCAAGTTGTGGAGGTTTTTGTCTGTTGTCTAAGTGTATTTCATCGACATTTATTTTTTGTCCTATTATGAACCTTTCCCTCAGATCATCCCTAGTAGCCATGCTAACAGCATTCATCCTGAGGATACATCGAAAGAGTAAGTCTGTGAGCATTGATCAACACCGGATTATTTGTTACTGCAGATGCTGCAAGGAATAGTACATCAATACACCTTTGTAACCAAATGTCACTTATACCCTTCAAGGATGAGCTGCATTCACAGCACTGTATATTAAACCCAGCACTCCCAGTTCACATTTGCAGGGGATATCATCTTTTTCTTCAAACCTTGCCATCGCTCAGAAATAAATTGCTTTAATGCATAATTCAGGCAGAGATTTGGACAGTAAGTATTTAGCAGGTGAAGCTGGGGCATCAGCTTTAATATTCAGAGAAAAGTAATCTTATTGATTTAATTATTTATTGCAACAAGATTGCTCACACTTAGTTGCCAAGCATTTGCTAGAGGGTACAATATATCAGAGCAAATAAATAATACGATATGTACCATTGCAATAATATAACAAATTGTTTAACCATTTGTGCACCATGGAGAATCTAAAATATTCACAATGCATTGCCTTACCCTCAGGAGCATAAATGGTTTAATGATTCCAGGACTTGATTCTAAATTGAAGGAATACAACTGGCCGTGTAATATTCCATTTTTAATATAATGATATTCAATTAATTGAGATCAAACATCCACTACGTATGACGATTGACATTCTCATAATAATAATAATAATTAGTGATGTCCCGAGCGGTTCGCCGAACGGTTCGCGAACGGTTCGCCATGGACTCATCATTGAGTAAACTTTGACCCTGTACCTCACAGTCAGCAGACACATTCCAGCCAATCAGCAGCAGACCCTCCCTCCCAGACCCTCCCACCTTCTGGACAGCTCACTAAGAATGCAGCTTCACAATGAATGTAAAATGGATGCTGTCCAGGAGGTGGGAGGGTCTGGGAGGGAGGGTCTGCTGCTGATTGGCCGGAATGTGTCTGCTGACTGTGAGGTACAGGGTCAAAGTTTACTCAATGATGAGTCCGTGGCGAACCGTTCGTGCGAACCGTTCGCGAACCGTTCGGGACATCACTAATAATAATATAATAATATAATGGTGAGTTTTTTTCACCCTGTAACTCCAAGAAGTGCATTACCATTGTGCATGGAGACATCTTCATGTGAGTCACTGGTTAACTTGATGTTGCAAAGGTTGAAGTGTTTGTGCTTGGCTTTTAGATGTGCTTTTCAGGTTTCAGGTATTGGGATATTTTTGGATGGAATGCAATAGCGTACTCTGTTTAGTCTGCGTATTTGGTATGATAACCACTTTTTGCCTAGATTCACACTGTTTACACTTCCTAAGGAAAACTAATGGAAAGGCATTCAGTGTGCATGATAGGTGTGTTTGAAAACGTACATGCATGGTGTAATAGTAGTTGCCTGGTGTCCTTTATCTCACATACTTTCAAAAAAAATCACAATATAATGCAAGTCCACTGGTCAACCACAACATTAAAACCACTGACAGGTGAAATGAATAACATTGATTATATTGTTACAATGGCACCTGTCACGGGGTGGAATATATTACGCAGCAAGTAAACAGTCAGTTCTTGAATTTCACATGTTGGAAGCAGGAAATATGGACAGAATATAGATCTGAGGGACTTTGACAAGGACCAAATAGTAACCAAAGAATATAGTTACTTGGGCACTATCCCAAATCCCTATGCAGGGCCAAATAGTGATTGCTTGATGACCGTGTCAGGGGCACATCCAAAACGGCAAGTCTTGTTTGGTGTTCCTGGTATGCAGTGGTTAGTACATACCAAAAGTGCTGCAAGGAAGGAAAACCACTGAACCAACATCTGGGCCATGGGCGCCCATGGCTCATTGATGCACATGTGAACGCATTGATGCACATGAGAAGTTTGGTCTAATCACACAGACGAGCTACTGTGGCTCAAATTGCTTAAAAATGCTGGCCATGATAGACATAGTGCATTGCACCTTGCTGTATAGTTGCAGACCAAACAGAATGTCCGTGATGACCCCTGTCCATCACCAAAAGTGCCTTCAATGGAGACTTGGATTTTAGAACTGGACCATTGAGCAATGGATGAAGGTTACCTATCTGATTATTTTAGATAGGTGCATGTGCATTGTTTACCTGGGGAATGGTAGCAGGATATGCTAGGGCAGTGGTTCCCAACCCAGTCCTCAAGTAACCCCTAACATTCCCGGATTTAATGCTAATGTATTGGTGTCAGATACTACAGGACACGTCCAGAGATATTGTGGAGTCCATGATGTGACGCATCAGAGCTGTTTGGCTGCACAAGAGCGACCTACACAATATTAGACAGGTGGCTTTGATGTAATGGCTGATCAGTGTATATTCAGAAGAAAACATTTACTTTCAGAATTTATTGTAGTTCTGACAGTGTAGAATATTGCATATTCTATGTTTCTATTGATTATATATATGGATGTGTGGATTGACATAAGTAACAGATGGTATCAATAAGTCACAAGGCTTTCTTTGTCCGAGAGCTCTGGAATGTGGATTCGGGGGTTTTGTCCTTATATGGCTAGAGTTAAATGCTGACGTTAGTATTAGCACTTCTATATAGTAACAGAGGGACACGAGGTCTCTCAGTCTTGTCTTGGCTTAGCTCTTGGCTCTGTACAACGATGTAACTCTCCCATCAGAAGTACAGCAATTACCATCTGCTGTTGAATGTCCATTATCCTGTAACATCATTTGTTGTTTTATGTATCCGTAACTAAGAATAAACCTGAAGAAACCGTAAGTCAGATTGCGTATTACTACTTTTCAATAATATAGACATATATTATTGTGGCGAGCATTTGGCCCAAGAATATATATACAAAAGAAGTATATATATCAATCAACTGAAGACAAGAAGAAATTAAGAAGATTCTACATGAACATCCATTCATCTAGTTTTTTTACATTGGCTAGCCAGCCAGTCTTCTATTCAAGTTTTGTTCCCACTTCAAGGGGGGAGAGAGAAGAATCGAGTTACAAAGCTATTTTGGAACTGGGAAAACAAACTTGAAGAGAAAAAAAGAATCTAGATTAGCATAGAAGAACTGTGGTTTGTAAGAAAAAGAAAGTTTTCAAATCAAAGACTGTACAAGACTATTTTCTACAACTGAGACAAAAAGCACAAGATACAACGTGAATTCTAGAAGCAAGCACGTGGCAGAGATTGGCAAATTTCCAGATCCAAGAACTGCGCAGCTGTGTGGATGAAGCAACGAAATAGACAGAGATAACTGATCTGGTGAGTAACATGGAATTCATAAATGATATTGCAGAGAAAAGTAAATTGCAGTTTGCATTTAATAGCAGCTATTCAGATGCTGTATTGTGGCGATCTTTATACACACAATGTGAAATTGCCAATACTGAAATTGACAAGAAATTGTTTGTTAATAAGAAAAAACAAAAGATCAGAAATTTTATGAAACTAGTCTGTACTTACAATGCATTGATTTGTAAACGAGATGCTGGTCAAGAAAATTTAGAATCATCAGAAAAAGAAGTAGATTTGAATGGGTTAACAGAAGACAAATCAGATTTAAATGAACAGTGTAACAAAGTAACAGAGAGCACATTGTCAGAAAAAGTCTGTGAATTAGAGGATAGAGTTGAACTAAGAAATGATCTTATTTGCCAGCTTAGAAATGAAGTTAACCTAGTGTGTGTTAATACCAGAAAAATACAGGCACAGAATCTAATCCCAGAACTAACAGATACTGAAAATGTATCCTCACAGAGTGATTTGCAGAAATGTAAATTTCAAGACAGAACTGCAAAACTTAATTTGAAAATCCATGAACAATTAATGTAAATTGTGAAATGTATTCCAGTTTATGACACGTCAGTGGATGCATTTACTAATGCTGAAATGTTTGAGTCAAATGTGGACAAATACAGCCTAAATGACGAACAAAGGAATAGACTATTTCAAATATGGCTGCCGACTCAAATGGCATGTAGGCTGACCGCGCCTGTAAAATGTGAGGACAATGATGAAATAATATATGGAAATAAGCAAGACAGATTAACACAATTAATAAAATTAACAACAGGGAATGATTTTGCAGATACTGAAATGTTGGAAAAACTAAAACCACACAAAGGGGAGGATATATTTAGTTTTCTTGTAAAATTTGAAAGTGCATATAGACTTGTTGCTGATTTTTATGAAAATCAGTTAATTAATGAATTTGTGAAAACATTTCAAGATCTAGATCCAACTGCAATTGTGGTAGCTAGAGAAAAAAGCACTTTGACAGAAGTAGCTTTGTTCTTGGATAACTTAAGGAGGGAAACCAAGAATGAAGGGGTTAAAATGACTTGTGGAATTAGGCAGAGAAAGAAGTGCAGATTTTACAGCCCTCCTCCTTCTTCTTCTCGGACAGAGTGTAAAAGAGTGATACAGACAGCTGAGCCCCTCCCAATTTGTTCAAATCAAAGGCAGAATATAACTCCTAAAGTTATTTGTTTTTGGTGCAATAAACAACATTATTTAAGATCTTGCAGATATTTTATCCGAGATATCAAATCAAAAGCAAATGAGAAATTAAATTTGTTGATTGAAAATTTTGACAGAGAAAATACATGTGGAGATAAATCAATTAAAGCCTTTCATTGTAAACTTATAATCAGACAAATAAAAGCAATTTTAGCTAAATTGAAATTAGGAGACAGACAAGCAATGCAGTATAACACAGAAAGTTATAAGAATCAGATAACTTCAAGAAATATCAGTTTAGGGAATGAGCATGGATATGTGTGCCAACAGATGTACACAGGCTGATTCCAGAATTAAGAACAGCCAAGAATAGAGATCTAGGTTAGTTTGTTGTTATAATGAATTGTTAGTTTGAACTGTTTTTTCATTGTTTTATGTGTGTTATAAGAAAGTATTAGGTTAATTAATTGAAATAAAAAATTACATCAAGTTTGCAAATATGACAGAATGAAATACACTAATGTAGCAGTTAGGAACATGCAATGTTATATTGGGTGTATGCGATTATACAGTAACTCCAATCATTTTACAGAAGAAAAAACAATGTTACTTCTGAGGTTGATTTAAAATCTTTGATTTAATTCATGAGAATGAGATTTTAATGTCATGACTGATAATGGATTACTATATTTTGCAAAGCCTACACATACATATATTTTGACTACATAGAAGACAAAAGTTTTGATAGAATAAAACCTAGATTTACAAATACATTTGATGAAGGAAACAATATATGTTTTTGTAGTTTGTTTCATGTGACAAAATGGTGCCAGTGTTAAGACAAAATGGCTACTATAGCTAAAGTATAGTGGAAAACAATATTTTGTTGTAACATCTGATATGTGATTAGGTTATACCTCCAGATTATTAAACAGTTTAAAAGGGGGGTATGATTAATAAGGTATGATTAATAAAATGTTCAGAAAGATTTTAATATAAAAGGAAATTTAAAGATTATACATCACATGGCATAAATGCAATGACCACTAGATGGTAGATCTCATGAGCAGAAATTAGTATGTTGTGTAGTCCATGTAATTCAATGTTAAACTGTGTAATAATAATGAGATATAAACATTGTAAGCCATTGTATTGATGCTGCACATGTTATTTGTTTTAATGTAGGTAAAGCGTGACAGATCCATGTGGCAATAAATCAGGAAAGCATTCCTTCAGACAACTGGACATCGACTGTTGGAAAGAGACTTTTCATCTGATCTGCAAACTGTGATGGAAGATTCTACAGAGTTCATTCGATACAGAAGATTAACAGACTTACAAAGAAATAAAAGATTGACACTAACATAAATATATATTCCTAAATTATATCGAGGTGAAGTAAAACAAACAATGGTAACATAAGGAAGAAAACTAAGGAAGGATAATTTATATTGATTAATATTAAGTAATTATATACATATAAGAGTTCAGAGATCCAAGAGGAATTGAATTGAATGGAAAGAGTATAGTACACAATTATATTTGACCTAAGTCTATAAAGGTATGGACTAGGGAGAATATGTTTCTGGATATGATGGTATCCAATGAATTGAATAAGTTGTTATAAGTTGTTTTATGATTTCCCTGAGTTTGTTAGACACAGACTAGGAATAAGAGTTTCTGGGCAGTATGACCCCAAGTTTATTTTTGTTTATTTTATTTTAGTCAGTTGAAGTGTACTAAGGAATATGGATTGGACAGAACATTAGGACAATCCTGCTTTTGAGATGTATTACATTAATAAGTCATCACGAAGCTAATGAGGAGAGTGATGATAATTAATTTAAAGTATTCTTTCCAAGTTCTTTTAAAGTAAACCATTCTCCGATTGAATGAAAAGTTTGTTACTACAAGGTGGAATTTTAGTGAAAATTATAATTATGTAAACAAAAACAAATCTATGATAGAAAGATTTCTGGGTGGAGAATTTCTAGGACAATAAGTATTGTCAACACCATGAACATTATTTAAAGAATTATTATAGAACTTCATGGTTGATAACACATCCTTTGAATGAGTCTTATAAGTAGTGTTGGTATATTTCAGGTAGTGAGAGCCTACTGAATATACAAATTAAATACTATGATTGTAAAGTACTGATACAATCACCACTAGGTGGTATTAATGGTATTGGAATGTAATTCATGAATACAAATGACCTAAAGATTTTAAGGTTGCTAGAAACCATATGATTCATGGAAATATAATTGGACGTATATTATAGTAATACATGTATTAGTACTCAAGTAATATCAGGTATTGAGAATGAAAATACTATGCTATATGAGTCTGTAGGAATATGATAGTGAAACACAGTTATTATTATTTAGAAAGTTACGATCTTGATTTTGTTGTCTACAAAGACATGATTGTGCCTGAGCAGGTAGATCTTTCTGATTGCTTTATTGTTTATTGGATCAACATTTGTAAATATTTTATTCATTTATTATTGTTATATATATGTATATATTATGTTCAAGTAGTTATGATGTAATATGGATATGGATATCAATACATAGCTGAAACAGAGGGAGTTTTGAAGTAAAGTAAGCAGTATGAGGGATAGAAACTCGACCTTCTAAGAACTCTCATATAATAGAAAGTTGTGACTACATCTTGTTCTATGCTCAATGAATGTGATACAAGTGATGTATGAATGGACAGGTTAGTGACATTGTGTTATGGTTTTAAAACAAACCATAAACAGAGGGAATGTAGAATATTGCATATTCTATGTTTCTATTGATTATATATATGGATGTGTGGATTGACATAAGTAACAGATGGTATCAATAAGTCACAAGGCTTTCTTTGTCCGAGAGCTCTGGAATGTGGATTCGGGGGTTTTGTCCTTATATGGCTAGAGTTAAATGCTGACGTTAGTATTAGCACTTCTATATAGTAACAGAGGGACACGAGGTCTCTCAGTCTTGTCTTGGCTTGGCTCTTGGCTCTGTACAACGATGTAACTCTCCCATCAGAAGTACAGCAATTACCATCTGCTGTTGAATGTCCATTATCCTGTAACATCATTTGTTGTTTTATGTATCCGTAACTAAGAATAAACCTGAAGAAACCGTAAGTCAGATTGCGTATTACTACTTTTCAATAATATAGACATATATTATTGTGGCGAGCATTTGGCCCAAGAATATATATACAAAAGACGTATATATATCAATCAACTGAAGACAAGAAGAAATTAAGAAGATTCTACATTAAACATCCATTCATCTAGTTTTTTACAGACAGCATAAAGACTATAAAATTACAGGAGCTTGGCAGCCATCTTGGACGGTAACATACTAAAGAGACTTATTCTCCATGATTTGTAAAACTCTTTCTAAAGGGTTTGGTTGACACTGTGAATGACCCCTGGAAATGTATGAGACCTCACAATGATAAAATGGTAGCATTTGTGTTGTTCAGAACCAGACTTTAGTACTGGTAATATAAATCTCTGTGAGACAGCTTTTTACTGCAGCAGCGTTTACAGGGCTTCTTTGTAGCTGATCATATTTTATACGCTCTCCACTCCTAGATCCTTTTGGGGCTCTAATATTCTAATATGCTTCTAGTATACTTTAGTATTCTTCTAATCTTTACTGCTGCACTGATTCATTTTATTGTCTGAGTCACTGCCCCTGGAGGTGTTACTAGGCAGCGCTGTAAACACTGACTTTTCTTCTAAAAAGACAGTGTTTACATGGCAAAGCCTTCAGGGCCATGCTATGGACACCAGAACCACTACAGTAAGCTATAGTGTCCCTTTAAGTCATCCCTCCCAACATGGTGAGATATGTAAATAGGGACAAGGATGGGCCGTGTTAAACGGGATGGTAATTCAACTTGCATCACTGATGCTGTCCAAAGGGGTGAGTCTGTGAAAGTGAATGCTTAGAGGGCTCCTTAATTTCACAAACTTCACTTTAATGTCATCATATGGTTAATGGCAAAATATATTGTTAGTCTAGCAGCTACAAGATTGTGGTTCCAGGGACTCCTATTCTAGTCTCTGAACAGATGATGAAAAATATTTATAGAACAGTATGCTGACTTCCAGATAAACGTCTCCTGTGTGGTGTATTTAAAGCTTGTTTTGCACACGTATAAAATAACAATAAAAAAATCATGAAGCATTGTGACTAATTCAACCGATTTTTGTTATTCTAGAGGACAGTAATGTGGAACAGTTTTGAAAAACCCTGGCTTCATACATTTTAGATGTACTTTATGAATTCAGACAGCTCACAGAAATTACAGGATGTGCGGTGTCTTTGTTAGTTTTCTCTTTAACAGTCCGATGCAGGTGCCACTGAAAGTCTGCCAAGAGGGAGATTAGAGACGATTCCAAAAACATTGCATCTATTATTAAAAAAAATATGCGAACTCCTTTTTCACCGACTGAAAGTTCACAAACTTCCATGAATGCTGTACAGTTTTGAATGAAACATACAAAAATCTGCAACAGGGAAGTTTTGACAAATAGAAGGCAACGAGGTCCATACTAATTAGCAAAGGAGGAACGCTAACATCAAAATTGTCACTTGTCGATTTCCATTTATTTAATCTCTCCCCCCTAATAGATGTGGAAAACCTGCGCTAGTTAATGATGGATTATACAAGTCTGAGTTTGTTGCATGATAAGGTAGACACTATGGCCTTGCTTTAATATTTTGGAATACGTTCTTAAAATTATAGAATATTTAGATTTAGTTTTTGCATATTTATATATTTTTATATATTTATGCGATATTTTCTAGATAGTTTAATATTTTGAAAATATTCATTTAAAAACTTAATCTAAAAATATTACATTAATGCCTATATTTGCAAGGTCATGCATTAATTATTGGGTTTTTCTCTTATCAATAGACAGTTTGTGCCATGCCAAACATGCCCGTTCCTTACAGCAATTCCATTACACTGCACTGTAATGAGTAAATACATTAAACTGGAAATACGAATTTGTGTATTTAGATTTTAATGTTTTTGTACCTTACAGAGACTCTTACATTTCAATTATAAAAGTCCCACTTTACGTCCTTCTGATTTCATCTAAACATTGTGTTTTATATTTATGATATATTGAATAGACTAACCAGATCCCATGCAGTCTTCCAACCCACTGCCCTGACATCCATCGTGGTGGCCTTCTTGAGATGCATCATTGATATTGATGCAAGTAGATCTTTTAATCCATTCCTCTGTGACTGACTGAATAGATGTTCCAACAAAATAAAAATGTAGTGCTAATGGCAATAATGTGGAAAACAGCAAAGACTATAGTGTAGTGAAACAATTGTACAGCTAAAGGTTAAGTTACCCAAATGCCCACCAACACAATAGAACAAAAGAGATGTAAAAAGTGAACAAACCACATGATGCAATTTGCTAAATATAAAATGTCATAGAGCAATATACCTGTATTTATAAAAATGAACAACATGCATACAGGGATACTCACATTCTTCTGAGCCTCAGATATTGGCTCGATTAAACAGTTTGTAGTAATATACTCTTTTACATTGCGCCTCTGTTCTTCTTGGATTACCAGTAGCCCAGTACTTCTTCAAAAATAATAAAGCAAAAGTGGGATACACCAAATTATGGCACAGTTAAAAGCATTTATTAAACACACATTGTGTAATATTTTACTTATTGATGTCCACCATAGAGTCACAAAAGTACAGGATCATGGATATACACAATGACATCAATTCACAGCACAATACCTCTCAGCCGATTCAGCCAAGACAATATAAGGAAACGTGATGTGCTGTGAGCAGTTTATGAGTATATTAATCCATGTTGATTAATTGAATGTACATTAAAGGCTCAGAAAAATGTGAGTTTATAACTGTATGCTTGCCATTCATATTTCATATATATATACCTGCTGCTAACTATTTTGTGCACTAAGGAATTTGTTTGGATAACCCTGACAAGTAATAATAATAATTATATGATAGTATCATATTATCTAAGCAGGTAGGACATATAAGGATGTATTTATAGAGGATATTTTATTGTGGAAGGATGTCACACTTGTGCAACGTTTTAGCTTTGAAGCCGTAATCATACATCGTCTTTCCATAATAACATTCCTCTATAGGCAGATAGTGCTACCCAGTTTCTTTTTGGTTTGCTACTATTGTTTGCTGTAATTGTGATACTTGTAGGATCCCTAGCTTGGAGCTCCATTAGCCCGTAGATGGCCTTGATTACGAACCTACAGAGTGCTCTGTGAATTTTCTTTTCATATAAAGATTTAAATATTTTCCCCACTATTTTCCACCATGTCGTTACGAATGTTATTAGTAAACAAATAAGTAATTTTTTTTTAAAAACACTCAGTGATAATTATTTGATCTTACTGAGTAATATTGAGCCAAGTGATAGGAATTAAAACTTGTGATGCTATGTTTGTGTAGGTACTGCAGACAATTAATACTAGTGCATTATATTACACTGGTGCGTATATTAGGAAAAACAGAAACAGATCCACTATATAGGCTGTCTATAGACATCAACCTAGAGAGAGCTCATATGACCTTCTAAACGTAAACGTTCTGCTAGCATTCAATAGAAAAGGTATTATAACTTCGTATTGTATTCATTTGCCATTAAATTGTTCTTTGCAGCATGCATATCACCTTCCATTATATAAGATAATAATAATAATGAAATTTGAAAAGCTTCATGTTTGGATGGGTGCATGCTTGGATGGCTAAAAGACCATACTGTTACTGTTTTCAGTCTCACTTGCATGAATAATGCTTCCTGTTCTATTAGTAACAATGGAAACAAAATGTAATTAAACAGCAATATTCTTCAGTGAGAATAAACAGCACACCATGATAGGACGCACGGTGAGTCACTGTAATAAATGGACCCACAGGCTATGCCCTGACATACTCAACAGGAGAAAATATATCCCTTGAGATTAACAGTTTTACTTTATCTTCGCTAGCCTGGAAAGTGGGATCTGACTTCCCCTCACCTCTTGTGTAATTTTAGTATTTGCGTCACTGTTGATATTAAACTACACCACCAAGAACAAAGCTAAACCTTAGAGACTAATGATTTACAACGTGAATCTGCCCTGTCCATAGATTATGTCACAGTTTAATAAAGAGTCTAATAAACAAATAATATACATTAATTCAGTAAATCACAATCAGATGTGTTTCCTTTAAGCATAGGGTAAACACAACATAAGTAGAACCTGCAGATTAGGCTAAATGTTGCTGTGGTTTGAAGAACATATTCTGGAGCCATGGTTTTGATACATCGTGTGTTTGGAGAGAAAACTGCAAATTGGTCATTTGGAAATCCAATCGCTTCATCTCTGTTGGCTTTCATCCAATTGGATGTATGTCTGGCTGAGAACTGCATATCACTTGGAAATGAAACAGAAATGGAAATTAACCAGACTAGTGCCCTAAAATGTAACTGCAGTCACATTGATAAATGTCTATCACTGGCCCAGCATGTGTTTCCTCATTTTCACTTTTCACTATACATGGTTAAAGGAGCTAAACACCTTCTTATACCTCTAAGGTTGAGTGCAATTTTCCCAGGATGGCAATACCAACCACAGTTCCCACTCCTTCTTATTGGTTGCATTTTGACTTTGGAGCTACTGTACACTTTTCGTAAATGTAGAATTTTATTTGACCTCAGGAGAACCTTCAGAAGAAACATGATCCAAAGCTGAACTTTGAAGGAGGTGCTCCCTTGTCTGCTTAACTGATTTTATTTGCTGCTGACTACCTTCCTTCATCACCATTTTTGGTTGGAAAAAATGCCTAAAAACATTTTTTTCCCATTTGCCTTTTCCTATTTTTTTATTTTGTTACATGACATGACTCCTGGCATAAGTTATAAATATAACTGTTGCCACATCTGCCAAATCGCGTTCTCAGCCAACCTTAATGCCCCTACCATTGGCACATTTTATTGCCATGTCAGAATTTTTCAAAAACTAACCCATAAAGTAAGCTTAGAGACACCCAAAATGTGACAAAACATTGTTGTCATAATTACTCCTCTACCTAATGGAAACATGATGTACACTTTCAAATCACTCCTACGTAGGTGGACTAACTTGAACATAAATCCACAAGCTTCAAGCCCATACACTAAACACAGGCTGTCAAAGTTAGTTTACTGGCTACTGATATAAAACATATTTACCAGAATATCAGCCTTCTAGCTACTAATTCCAAGACTTCTCAGCTATACTGTTAAAAAAGTAGAGCTTTAGAAGAAACAGTTCTGAGTTCATCCTTCCAAGTTACGTATTACAATCATAGTTACAAATCGCTATATACTTTGCTGATCATGATTAGGAGTGATCATTTGTCTGACACATTTCACAAGTTGCCTACTCACTAGGGAACTCTTGATAGAGGGCATCTTTTAACTCCATTGGGATTGACATTACCTTGGTTCACCCTAAGGTACATCTTTGTAGCACATTGAAGTGGAAATGCTCCACCACTTTTTCCACCTCTCCTCTGAATCCCTGATATGAAATAGCACGTATTGTGGTTTATGTTGTTTGTTTACTGCTTTTTTTTATAATGTTTTACTTATTTTTTTATATTAAGGAGCAATAATAAATGTTGCTTATACCTGTTTCTTCCCAAAAATATTAGTATCTAAATGTAAAAGAGAAGCCAAATAGCTATGTCAACTATATTTGAAGGGCATTTGAGCCATCCTCTTTAAAAAGTGCTTCAATGTTGATGCCTTCTTTGATGTTATTAGAAGGCATGCTGCATTTCACTGATGTGCTTGTCTTGAATAAAGAGAGGCTGTAAAAGTGTCAGAAAGCTCAAACAAGAATATTGACCTT